TATTCTAAAACTTGCCTTTATTTCAACTTGTACCCACTTCCCGTGTTCAGCAGTGCTGTGGATGCATCAGAACTTGCCACAAGCCCTTGCTAAGCTCCTGAGAACCACCTGTGGTTGCCAGAAACAGGCAGATCAGTGAGATCAGTGGGGCGAGATTCACACATGCACATATATTTACACACATGTATGGATATACATATATATTTTGAACATGTAATATGTCCTGTTTTTTTTTTAATGGATTATCACCAATGACCTGTGCAGACTATTGTGCTTAAACGAAGGGAAGGGAATAAGGAAATGACTTAGCAAAGTTTGAGGGAAGTGTATGGGTGTGTATGCATGTCTGCAAATATATAAACGTTGTACATACAGAATTAAAGCTAGATGCTGTGAAGAGTTGTTGGATGAATTTGTGAACCCGATTGACTATCCCAGTTTAGGGGAACTGGCAGATGAGATTAATTGTATAGATGAGTAGGAAATGTTCTGCACGGGAAGACAAGAATTCCTAACTTATTTGCACTAATGTCTCCAAAATAGCTGTTAATAACGATGTCAGGTTATAGTAGGATCTTTACTGAAAATCACATCAGTTCCATCAGTTAAAGGAAAAAATGCAAATAAAATCCTAGGAATTATTAGAAGTGAGACACCAACATGTTGTGTCAGTATCTAAGCTCATGGTGTTCTCAGACTGGCGATTGTGAGCAGTTCTCTGCTCAGAAAGGTGGATTAGCAAAGGGACCAAGTAACAGGGTGGATCCAGGGTATTAAATAACCAGGTTGTTGGCTGAGCTGTGGAGCTCCTTGCCCTGTGCCAGGAGCTGATGAATGGTCAAGAAGTGATGGGGCAAATTCATGAAAAGAAATCTGTGGACTGCTATTGGCAATGTTGCTGCCTTTAGCTAAGGAGATCCTTAAACTGCAGATATTTAGCACCAGGAGCTGTGGTTTTGGGGCAAGCATTGCCCTAGTCTTGCTTTGCTTTATTCTTCCAGTCTTACAGAGGTATCTTCTGGTTACTCTTGCCTCTGCTTTAACTGATAACACACTGTCCTGTTTTGAAGTCACTTCATTGGGGATTTTTTTGGGTGTGACAACACAATATTTAGGGTTGTGAAAGGTCGCTTCAAATCATCTTTGGCAATTAGTGGCAATAGTGGTAATGAGTATAATATTTCAATGGGTGCCATAGGAAATCACTTCCAGAAGTCATGGTTATAACTCCTAAAAAATGGAGAAACATGGGGAGGGGGTGTGTATATACATACATATATATATATTTATAACTTCATATGCTGGTTACAACAAACTTGCAATTAAAAAAAAATCTCTCTATGATTGGTGTTACCTGCAGACTTTTAAAGAATGCCAGCTTTTGGCTGCTGAAGTTTATCTTTTTTTGCACATGTAATAGCTGTATATGCTAAGCTGCATGTGACACAAAGCCATTTGAGCATCTCTGTTCCATATGGCAAGAGAATTAAAATTTTATTAAGTCACAGAAGAGCCTCTACAGCATGTTATAAAAATAGATATCTTTAAAAATATATACATATATAAATTAGCGTAAACACCTATTTGAAGCACCCTTGTACTATGAATTGCAACATTTTCAAAATGAAAAACATAATTCAAAGAAACATTAACAAAAATTCTTAGTAAAATATTTCACTTTCTAAAATTGCCGTAAGCTTCTTGGGTGCTGTTAACTTTTGTGGGTTTTGTGATAGTGGGTTGATTTGTTACTTCCTACAATGAATATCCTTTGTGAAATGTTAGCTCATATTTAGAGTTTGTCTCAGTGGGGAAAAAAAAAATGATTATGGGAAGTCTTTGGGAAGTCTAGAAAAATGAGGCAAATTTTCTTTAATGGTTGTTAATTTCAAGCTGTTCTCATTTTGTCAGCTCATACGGCTTTTTAATGCATGACAATGGCGATATTTAGTTTCAAACATGTATTTTGAATAAGCAAACTTGGTGTGGAGTGACTTGTTAGAATACATGCCTTTAGGCTTCGATCTGTAATTCCGTAAATCTTGTCTTTATAGATGTTGAAATTTTGTGGGTGTGGGTTTTTTTTTTTTGCTCGTTTGCTTTAAAGGTAGAAAATGCTAAAATGTACAAGGAAATCAAGAAAATATGCTTAAATTGTTCAGAGAAAGCAGTAGGTTTTGTCTTCAGATTTTTTAATATTCAGAATATATATAATATTCTCTCTGATTATTACATTATTCCTGTGCTCTACATAGAAAAGAGAGAAATATGGGTTATGAAGGGGTTATGCAGGTTTCTGCTGATCTGTTGAAGTGAGGCTGCTGGTGACACCCTCAGGGTAGGACTGCAATTCGGATTGCATTGAAAAGCTCCAGCTGGAAGCCCTGAAAGCTGCAAGGTGCTAACGGCCCTAGAGCATCCCCGAGATCATGGAATTGCATAGAAAGGAAAAGACCCTCAAGGTCATCGAGTCGGCCGTAAAGGATGAGGAGCCCCAGATGAGCTTGGCCACTTGCAGTCAGGGCTTCAGCCTTCTCGTTCGGCTGCCCTGTTTTTTGGGCAGAATTGCTCTTGCAAACCCGGGCTCTGTCCTGTAGCTTCTTAGTTTTGCACAATTTGCATCCAGGCCATCCCTTGGCTGGTCTCTAACAGGGAGCCCTGGGGACTAACAAGATGTGCTTCAGTGGAGGCGTTTGGTAGAGCAGATGTTTGGTAATTGGTTTCTCTTGCTGAACACTCACATGTTACTGCACTGCCTACAAGTGGATCTGCCACCAAAGACCTGCTTCAGTCCCAGCCCTAGACCATAAACGAGACTTCATCACAACCTGTGGTTTTGGCTTCAGGAGGGCTACATTATGCATAAAAACTGCTTTCAGAATAATATTTCATGTAAGAGCATTTCTATTTTAAGCATTCAGATTATTTGCTGTCACATTTTTAAGTAGAGGTTGAACTACCTAGAGAAGCTGATAATAAAATTAAATGAAAGTGAGTGGCTGGAAAGAGCTCACGAGTGTGGAAAATCCAAGTTCTTCCTGTGAGATCAGTGCATGACCCACAAAGTTAAATCTATTGGTATAAAGGAGGGAGGTGTAAACAAAATAAAAATGATTAGCAAGGTTTAGCTGCTGTTCTTCATGCTTGTGCTGCAAACTTTCTTGAGGGCTGGTTTGTAGAAGTCCTGCGCATCTCTGCAGACGTTCTTTGGGAAGCTCTAAACATGCATTTCTGCAAGCTTGGCACAAACAGAACGTGACGTTTTGTTGTCTTGAATTTTTGAATGTGATATTTCTACCCTGGATGTGGTGTTATTCACATACCGACTTCAGAAGTCTTACAAGTGTAAGAGTACTTAAAGTATGGAACTAAAATCCCAGCCGCGAGCAGCAGTAGTTGCGGTAGGGCCGTGCTTATCTCTGAGGGTGCTGGTGGTGATAACGTGCAGCGCGGTGCCTTGCAGCCATGCAGATAAACGTGAAAGAAACACGGCTCCGTGGGAGGCCGGGACGGAGCGGCTCCCTGCTTGGAGCTGGCGGGAGCGCGGGACGGGTCGGCCGATGGAAGAGCAGCAAGCGGCACTGCTGCCTCACGGGAGCCCCTGGAAACACTTGGGATCAGCTGGAGAGTGTTCATAGAATCACAGAATGCCCAAGGTCGGAAGGGACCTCTAGAGATCATCTAGTCCAACCCCCCTGCACACGCAGGGTCACCTAGAGCACGTGGCACAGGACTGCGTCCAAGCGGGTTTTGAAGATCTTGGTGCTTCAGTTTGTGGCCATTTCCTCTAGTTCTGTTGGTGGCCGCCAGTGAAAAGAGGCCAGCACCGTCCTCTTCACTCCCTCCCTTGAGGTACTTCTAGACACTGCTCAGGTCCCCTCTCAGCCTTCTCTTCTCCAGCTGAACAGGCCCAGCTCCCTCAGCCTCTCCTCACAGGGCAGATGTTCCAGGCCCCTGATCATCCTTGTGGCCCTGCGCTGGACTCTCTCCAGCAGCTCCACATCCCTCTTGTACTGTGGAGCCCAGAACTGGACACAGTACTCCAGATGTGGCCTCACCAGGGCTGAGTAGAGGGGCAGGATCACCTCCCTCGACCTGCTAGAGATGCTCTTCTTAATGCAGCCCAGGATCCCATTGGCCTTCTTGGCCACGAGGGCGCTTATTTAAAACATTCGAAAACCTTGTTTGCTCTCACGTTTTTCTAACTCCTTTAAGGTCCATGGGGAGGTTGAAACTTAGGGGCAGTCGCTTGTCCTTTGCATACTTCTGTTCTGCAAACTACAGCTTCTGTCTGCGTTCATTTTTATCCTCAAAAATGTTAAACTTTGTAATTTTGACCTGTTTTAAACTGCTAAACCAAAAAGCAAGTTAGACCTGAGCAGTAGCCTTCCCTTCCCTTCACAGCATCCAATTCAAACTTGGTCCACAAACAAACTTTGCAGCTCCCAGCGCTGCCTGCACAGTGTTTCCTCTGTCCTCCGGCAACTCTGTCAAACAGGGAGCAACCGAGAAAAGCAGGAACATCTCGGATCTTTTCATCACTGTAGCTGACATTTAAATGTGCCACATGCTGAGAAAATATGCCCAGGCACCAGCAGGCATCTGTGCAGTTTCTTCTGTTTTCTGTCCTGTTTACACCTTCAGTCCAAGATATGTTTTAGCAGCAAGTTTGTCCATGCAGTTTATAGTATCTACTTTGGATGTTTTTAGGAGAAGTCTCAAAATAATTTCTTAGAAGGTTATGGCAAGAGGTTTGATAATCCAGAGATACAGGCTGGTTTTACTAGTGTCCTCATAAAAGTCTGAGCAAAGAATGTGCTGAAGTAGAAGAGGAGACCTCAGGACGATGGAAAATTACTGTGAGATTATATGGAGATCCAAGAAGGTATTTGGAACCAAACCGTGCATGTTAAAATAAGTTGTTATGTATCGGAGTCTGTAATACTTGAGTTGACTTCCCTGCTGTTTACTTATTTGTTCGTTTCTTTTTTTTTCCCTAGTGTCCCAATGTAATATCAGCTTGAAGAAGCAGAGGAGTCGAAGTATCTTTAGCACCTTATTCTGCTGCTTTCGTGACTACAATGTCGATCCACCATCTACCAACAGCACCAGTGCTCTTCCTCCGCTGGTGGAGGAAAATGGAGGACTTCAGAAGGTCAGGCTTTTGTCTGGTTTTGCTCTCATATAGACCTTCTATAATATAACCCTGTGCTTCTAATGTTTTTTTCTCAACAGATTTCCCTCTTGGGGGAAACCACGTGTTTTTAGGTGTTACTAAAGAACTGATTATTTGGGTTGTGAGTTGCTGATATCTATTCAACTGTGGTTTAAAACAAAACTCTTCTATGAAAGATACTGGCACTGTACGTTTCATATGCAGATAATATTTAAATTTAAATATTTAAATAAGGCATCTCAAAATAGAGATTTTTTATATATTTTAGTTTCTGACTTACTTCCCTGCTTTGACTCTCTTTCCCAAATACAGGAAGCTTAAAGTGGCTCTCACTGGAGCATAGCAGAGCTGCTTTGAATATCTTTTCTTGAACTTTTGAATACCTTGAGCTTTTAAGAGTTTTCACTGACATAAAACTTTCAAAATGGGGGAGACCCACTATTCCCTTATTTAGTTCATCTTAAGTCTGGACATACCAACTTTTCATTATTTTGTCAGCTTATTAATAGTTTACTTAATTTTCGGCTTGAAGTTGTTGTTAAGTCTAATTTAAATGAACTCTCAGTACTTTGAAGCATTGTGTACGAAAGCAGAGCGTTACTTTCTTTGAGTTCTGCTCACTGGCATGATGTATCATCAAGGAATTGCAAGTATAGATATAGCCATGGTGGGGAATAATGGTAGAGATAAAGGACCCTCCCTGTCTTCACCCTTCTGCTCTTCACACTATAATTTTTCCGTATTTGGTGCAGCTGTTTCTTATCTTGTCTGCTATATTTTATTTTGTTGCAAATTCTGCTGTTTGCGTTCAAATTCTGTAAAACTCAGGAACCCAGGAACTGTTTGGGACAGTAAGTTAGTGCCAGATGCCAGCACTACGTGGGCAAGCAAAGGCCGAGCTGCAGCAGTTGGTGCTGATGTTGGTCCATTGCTCATACAGAAATAAAGTGCCCTGAAAAAAACAGGTGTCAAGAGGAGGATTGTACTTGAATTCTGAGGCTGCTTCTGTTAGTCAAGACACACTGAAATAAGGAAAAATCTAGCCTTGATTTACTGAAGGGAAAGCAGGGGAGATGGTAGTGTGCAAGCACACAGTCCTATGAAAATTAAAATGAACAGGGAACTAGAAATATTTGCCTTCCATTCTGGTAAGGAATGGAAAAAAGAGGTCTTATTAACAACAAAATTACAAATAAAGGGAAAATGAGAGTTTATTTGAACGGAAGACCTAGGGAAAGGAGAATTGTTATTTTTTTATAGAGAAAATGAATTAAAATGGTCTAGAGTAGGAAGTATGCATGTGTATTTTGTAAAACAGCCAATGACTTTCTGAGTATATTTTATACTGTGCAGGAATGATGACCTGCAATGTTTACCCACGTTTTCATCCTCATGCAGAGCTACCTTAGTGAGCAGTTTTGAAGTTGGGCAATACTTGTGCAAAAGCCTAAGACAAAAATCACAGAATTCATAGAATTACCAAAGTACAATTTGAGTAGGAAAGCCTATTGAGTATCCTTAAAAGAATTATTGCAGAGAACATTTCCTCCGAATACAATTAGAATTAAATGCACTCAAATATGTACAGCTTTTTGTAAAAGAAGTCAAATATGGCTAAGCTTTTGGGTAATTCTTAAATGAGTGCAAGTAAGTTTATAACATTGTATTTGAAATACAACACTGAAGGCTAGTAAGCTTTGTATGTTTTTTTTATCCTGCTTTTGTTTTTATTTATTGAGTTCAAGTTCTCAACTGGTGAAAGGTGAGGTGACTGTAGAAAAGAAGAGACAACCTTGCAACTTGCTGCTTGAAGGCTTGTGTTGTTGTTGGCTGTCAGTGCTCGTTGCACTAGGGTGCCCGTGCACTGGTTTAATTCCTTGAGCCCCGTTCACCCGGTTGCTCTGCTCCTGGCTGCTCTCACCCCTGCTTTGGCCTCTTAGTATTCATCACATCACGGATGATCTCTGACGTTGGCCAGAGTCTGTCCGTGTGGTGTGCCCCTTTCTTTCAAAAATGGAAGAAGGAAATTGAACAATGGTGTTAAAATAAGTTAAAATGCAGTCGCTGTTGGACACACGAGTGTAAAACGGATTGGGTGAACTTCCCTCCCTCTTTGCTGTTCAGTGGCCTCCTGGCATGGGGGATAAAGACCTTTTTACAGAAAGAGGAGAAACTGGGAAAGCTTCTGCAGGTTTCATAGAAACTCAGTGTTTGCTCTGTGTTGGTCCTGGCATTTTCTTAAAATCGATGCAACGAGCTTGCTTGCTTCTTGTGTCATTTCTTTCAATGTTAACCTGCTACAGAGGGAAAGCAGAGAATTTTATTTATAAACCAATTTAAAACACCCACCCCGGGGTAATTTCATGTGATTTTTTTTTCCACTATTAGAATTTTTTTTTTCTTTGCCAGATGATGCTTAAGTGTCATGTCTTTTTTCATAAGGTTGAAAGAAACACCAACTGGGGGTGACTTTGAAGAAGCAGAAAGTTAGAAAACAAAACAGCACTGATTTTTATTCAAAAAAAAGGAGAAAAATAAAATTCTTTCAAGCCCATAGTTCATTTTTAGAACGTGTCCTTGTTGAGGAGCTGCCTGTCCACTCCTTATACAGATAATGAATGCTCTGTTCTACCCCCAAAGCTCCAATATGACATTTTTTGAGTAGTAACTTGCATTTAGTGACATTATTGTACACTTGTTTTTCTCAAAATGCTCCTTTTTTTTAATCCCGCACAAAGATACATTCTGGGATGTGGCAGCTATTGCAGTGGCGCTATCGGCCCGTCGGCAGCTCGGATGCAGAGGCAGCCGTGCCAAGGGGAGAACACGGCGTTCAGCCCTCTGGAATTCCTGCCGTTTCTTTCCTGCTTTCTCAGCAGCAGGCAGCTCACCAAGACCTTCCAGCCAGCTTTTTGGGGAAGGAGTGTTGGGAGAGGCAGGGGGAGTGTTTTCCTTTTTCTATGAATAAATCCAAACCTCGGTTCCTGTTTTTAATGCAGCAGTTGGGCTCCATGTGGGTGATTCCTGGGTATGTGTCTCCGTTTGCTGCCGGGGGAGTTTGTCACCTGGGTTCTGAAGCCTTTGCAGTTCCTGAATTCATTTGCAGACTTGGAGGAGAGAGAAAAAGTGGGAAGAGGAGCCCTATTGTATCCAGCCTTTCCACATCACTTTTAGTCGTGGTCAGTGAGGGAGCTGACAAGTCTATCAGCTCATTTCCAGTTTCTTTTACAACCTGGTCCCACCAGAATAACTTCTGCTTTTGATTTGTGCTTGGATACAAACCAAGCAGATGGCCATGAAGTAGGAAAAGGGTTTTGTGTTTGTTGGACTGGGAGAGAAGGTCTTGATCCATCCTCCACAGGGAAGAAGAGAGAAGAGGTGATTCTGGGGCTCCCCGATGCCCCCGCTGCTTTCCCTGTGAGCGGAATGAAGCCAGAAGGGCAGAATCCTTGGATTTCCACCTCGCCCATCCCATCAACTCCAAAAGTTAGATCCCCTCCCTCACGTTGTGTGGGTGCTTTTTGGTTGGGTGTTTTTGGGGTTTTTTTTTTGTTTGTTTGCTGCTGCAGGGTGCTGCCAGCTCCAGAGTGAAAACTGTTTTGTTGGCCCAGCGTTTTCTAACCTTTTGCCTCTAACGCTGTTTGCTCCAGGGAGCTCTCTTTGTAAGGACCTAAAATTACCATGGAAATGATCTTTATCCCATGTGAATACAATTTCTCAGGAGATGAGCAGGGCTCTAGGGAGGACACTAGGGCTCTCCGTTAGCATCTCCCTCCTCCAGGAGACCCGAAGATGCAACCCGAGCACAGACTCTTTCCTGGGGAAACTATTGCCATGTTTTTGGAACAGATGTGGCACCCAGTTTGCTATGTGAGGTGAATATAACCAAGGGCACTTTCTCCTCCTGCTTAACCCTCATTGGTGTGGCAGCTCTGTTTACAAAACAAAAATCCTCTATGGAGATACATTTTCTCCTTCCACAGTCTTGGCCTTCTCATTCTAACCTCTTTTTTGCCTCTTTCCCCACAAAGTTTTCCACATGAAGAGACAAACCTTGATAATCCAATCAATGCAGTAATCGCATGGTGGAGGAAATAGGTTATTTTATATATATGCACATACAGACACACACACACACACATATTTATACACTCATATATATATAAAATCTCCTCCCTTGGTGTATATGCTATATATAGTTTAATATAAACTTGTATTAAAGAATTGTATATGGTAAGGCTGTTCTTTTGATCATCTTCTCTAAATAGATTATTTTGTTAAACGATGCTAAATTGTTGGCCTAGGCCCACCTGGTAGGGGGCAATTCTGAGTAAGTGGCACCTGAGCCCCTCAAACAGGGTCTGGCACTTGGCGCTTGCTGGTCCTGTGGGCTGCCATGGACAGGGTTAATGTCTGCATTCAGTGCTGAAAACGTTTCCTGTAGCTCCCCCAAAATTGAGCAGCTAAGGAAAAGATCATTATTTCATGTACCGCGAAAAACTGATTGCGATGGCCAGAAAAACCAGCTCCTGGGTATCTCGGTTGCACAATGGGGAAATTGTGGCGTTCTCAGAGCTACTTTGTCCTATCGGCAGCCGCTGGAGCTCATGGAAAGACTTCAACAAATGCTGTCATGTGCCATTTATTTCCAAGTGCAACATTACGACCTACTTCCCTTCCTGTTCCAAGGCATCAGGAAATAAGGCAGGGCACTTTTTAAAACTGGTTCCCACAGCAGAGTGGGGTTTTTTTCTTTTTTTTTAAAGGACATTTTTCTGCTCATGGGCACCTACATTTTTCCAGAATACCTGTGGATTTATCTTTTTTTTTTTTTTTTTCCTCCAATGGTCATTACCATTTGATTTTTTGCATATGTCCTTTAGGGTTCCACCAAGAAAATACACCTGTTTTCCTCAAGAAATTTTTGATTTAGAAAATTCTGCAAGAAAAGTAGAGTTGACAATGATACTGCTGCTTTATCAGTTTTAAAATTCTGCAGTCTCATAGAAGTCAGTAATACTGCTGGGTGCAGCTCTTGTTGCAAAAAAAAAATGGCATAAAAGAAAGCAGCCGTTGCAACCCTGCAAACATGGCTTGTTGGAGTTTATGGAGAAATGTGGTATGATTTTGTTCCACGGTTAAGATATCTTGCACTGTAAGTGTGAATATGCTGTTTGCATCAGCTGACAGAAAAGAAGCTCCTGTATTTTATTCTCTCTAGCAATGAATGCAAAAAAAAAAAAAAAAAAAAAAAAGAAGTCTAATGGGGGAGGAGGCAAGACAGGTTCCCAATCTGTTCTTCTGCCTACGTAACCATATCCTTGATAACAAGGACAACAACTGGCACCTAGTCAAATTTGCTCCTTTGTCAAATGGCATGCAGAAACTTCAGATAATGTTCCACTAAGTGGATGTCAACATGCTGATAGTCTTTCTGTTGTTTTTTTTTCTTTCTTTTTTTTTTTCTCTTTTGCCATGTTCTTGAGAAAATTCCACTTCTCCTTTTACAGGTACTTTTATACTAAAGTAAATGGTAGTTTATGGTGTTTTCTGTTCTTTCGATTCTTCATCAACTTCTTTCCATTTGGGTCCAGTTTCAGTAAAAGCTTTTGCTGTTGCAGCAATAAAAAATATCTAAGTGCTTTAAAATATGCGATATTTTTGTTGGCCATTATATGTCAACACTGTTAGATTCCAAAACAAGTGAGCACGAGACCTTATCAGCTGGAAGAGCTCATCTTCAAAACAGTTCCATCCACGGATAAATCAGTTTGCTGGTAACCAGAACCTGTGTTTTCAAAGTAATTAGAAATAATAAAACACTTTCTGCCTAAGCAACGTCTGTGCTAGGAAGGGCAGCCTTCCTCTCATATCCACCAACACACAAACACTTGTTTTGGGGGAGATGGATGCTAAGGAATTTCCACAGCCACAAATCCATGGCATAGCTGGATGGAAACTCATGTTGAGGAAGGTCTTGTCCTCCTGCCCTGTTTTTGGTGTTTCCAGTGAAGGTGAGACTGCAGGAAGGGCACGGATACCCTTGCAGCTTGCTGGCCAAGGCAGGTAGGACTCCTTGGGTCAGTTCAGCATCTTGGGGTGTCTCTGCTGTTGTGGTCCTTGCTGAGCAGTTGTCTCAAGGGAGGTTCGCTTGGAGAACTGGGCTTTTGCCCTGCCACCAGGGGCTGGTTGAGCTTCTTATTGCTGCGGTTGAAAAATTAAATATATATATATATTCATTTATATATGTATACACATATTTATCCATTAGGAGATCTTCTAACTCAAAGCAGAAGTAAGTTGCAGTTAATGCAGATGCTTTTTTATTATCATCTTTTATTAATCATAGCATGAGTTTTACCAGTTCTGTCTCTAAAAGTCACAAATACCAATATACTAACCAATCATTTTAGCAACTAAAAATGCCAAATACTGTTTTTTTTTTTTGTTTCTTTGTTTCATTTTATTTTTTTATCCTGGTTTCTTGAATACTTTGAATTTTTGGTTTAAAATGTTTGAGTGCTACATTTACTACTTCAAGCCTTTGTTTTACCCTTTGAAAGCCATTACCCTTACAGTATTTTTTTTTTCTTTTTCCCCAGGGTGACCAGATGCAGGTCATGCCTATACCAAGTGTATGTATTTTTATCCCTTTTTCTTTTAATAATTTTCATAGCTTTTGCTTTGATTCATCCTATGTTGCAGTCTAACAGGTCTGTTTTATGTTGCATGTTACAGGATTTTATATTCTAATGCAAGATGCTATACTTGGCAATGAATTGAACTGCAGGTGATATACAGAAAATAAAAGAAGAAATTGGGTTTTATACAATTCTCATCTTTTGTCACAGTTCAAGTTTCTGAATTTTAATCATTTTCAAAATGTCTGAAGTCTGAAAGTTCAACTTATTTAAATAGAGACAAAAAGTGATTCATCAGTTCTACCAGGATAGAGTAATGAAAAAGCTTTTCTCCTTCTCTTTCCACGTATTTCAATTCAAAAAGGGTTAGGAACTAAATTTATCTTGAGGCAACGCATTTTAGGCAAGTGAAAGAATAGAGTGACTGGCTGCATTACTGCCCTTGTTCAAGGAGGTGCTGTCATTATCAGCTGTTGTTTTATGGGCCTCAGTGTTTCTGCTCATCTTACCTGCATTAAACTTGCCATGCAGTTTGGCATCTGAATTATTTTTCAAAACTCAATAAAAGGGAAGTTGTTTGGCCGAAGTTGTTTACTTAGTTACCACTAACCATATTTTATCAAAAAAGCAGATCACCTTCTACTTTCTCTTATTAAGGACAAAGGCTTAGACTTTTTAAAAGCAGCAAATGCTTTTCCTTTCCGAGCCCCTTGACCATTTATAATACTTCATTGCAGACTTCTCCAGGAAGCAGCAGAGCTTGTGGGTGGGTTACTGATGTAGTCCTCTTTCTGGAGATACTTGGTAGCTCCAAATACCTGGATGCTCCCTGAGACACCTTTTTTCCTTCCCTTTTTTATAGCCTAACGTTACAAGGCCTCCTGTAAGAATCCTGTTAGTGCTGCAGCATGATGGTTTCAGGACATCACTATAAGTATGCAGATAGCTTCCCTCCTTCACCAAGTGTTCAGGGATCTAAGAATTGCTCTCTATTTTTTTATTATTCCATGGTATTAATTCTAATATGGTTGTATTGAATCAGTGCCCACTCCTTGGAATTATGTTGCAGTAGTGAGGGTTTGGAGTCTCAACAGCTCTCAAATCTTGGGTCTAAAAATAAGCGTGTATTAAAATGTATTTGTATTCACATGCATATAATTTGTATATATGCATTTCTGTGAATACCAAACTTCAAATCTGTGAAAATATCAATTGTTGAATTGCTTTTGCTTTTACTTACTGCCAAGTTCGAGTTTGTCTTTATAGCTGCTACATTGGCAGTCATTTGAAACACGTGTTCTGGCTGTTCTGTCAGCTAGAATAAAACTTCAAGAATAAATATAGATATTAAGGAAAGAAAAGTTGAAACAAAACATTTTGAAATGTAGCTCAGCTACAAGTCAGTCCCACTTTCTCAAATACAAACATCTTGAAGCCTGAAATTAGATGCTTTTCTAGGACAACGTTTAAAGCAGTGCTCTGTGAGCTTTGGGCAGTGGTAGGAATAGTGATGTTTCAAGATTGTTTTTACTAGTTTCAAGAATTTTTGGAGATATGTTTTAACTTAACTCTACTCCCAGCATTTTGCTAAAGTAGTAAATTTATTTTATCTTGGCATTCTTGACATATGGTTCTCAGTGAGTAGGTGATGTTAAATATCCTCATTCCTCTTCGCAGGTGTCATCTGCTGCCTTCTCAGCAGGCCATGCAAGTGTTGTCAAGGAATTACTGCTAATAGGCAATTCTGTGACATTTACTATCAGAAAATCAAATTGCTTCTCTGTGTCAAACAGGCAAGAAAGAATTAGTATAAATTCTTATGCTTTATTCATAAACCTCCAAATAAAAGAGAAGTGTGCTGCCTACATGGCAAGTGCTAGGAACAAAGATGCAAACCCAACATTGCATTTGGAAAATGCCAAAATTTAAGTGATGCTTTTTGTCCTGAGCATTGAAATGTAGAGGCTCAGTCAGACACTCTAAACCACTCTCTGAATTGCATGTACCTTATGTATCAGGAGAAAATCTCCTCAATGGACAGAGCAAGATGGGTCGCACTAATCAGGCATTTATTTCTTTATATGATTCATGGCAAATGTGGCCACTTCACAGGTTAACCATTCTGTCTTCCATAAACTTCTCAAGTTGAAGTCTCCAGTCAGAACATGGGGTTCGCTGCACGTGTGAAATGGGCCTGTCTGCTCAGATGACCTGGTGGGAAACTTCTGTTCTTCCCTGCATGCAAGTACAATAGCAGAAAAGTACATTTTTCTGCTAAATGAGAGATTGTCTCTATTGATAACACTTCATTTTAAAGCTTCAGAGTGTATTTAATGTGATTTTGGCTAGGGAGATCTTCTCTTCAGGGAGCATTGCAGCTTCAAGTTAAGCTCTTTGGAAAGTGGACACGGTTTGACTTCTGCCTAGAAAAAGATACAATAGAGAATTACAGCAGAGCCATATTTTAACACTTTTATTCTCTCTTTTCATTTTTTGAATTAAAAGGTGCATGAAAACACCTAGCAGTGATCATGCACCTGATTGTTTGATCAAGTTGCAGTATCTTTGAGGGGGCCATTGAAAATCTCAGTATTGCAGGAGTGGCCCTGAAAATAGCCTGCAGGATCCCTGTGGAAGTTAAAATACAGCATCTCTACCTACTTCTATCAATTTCTTGCTTTTACCTGTTTCTTCAGAAGGAAGCCTGTGCGCTGCCTGCTTCATAGCAGCAGTTATGTGTATGTTTTCAGTTGTAATAGTTTATCATCCCTAAGAGCGCTCCTGTGCAGGGCTGCTGGGAGCACCCATGAGCTGTGCTGTGCACAGCAGAAAGCGGGAGCTGAAGGGAGGATTTCACCCCAATAACCCTGCCCTAGGGAGCATTTTCAGCATGCAAAGGGCTTGGTTCTGCTGCTCCCTTTGGTGGGAAATGCAGCCCTGGAGGTGGGAACGATGCCTTCATACAGTCACCTTCCCAAAGGGCTGTGTCCTGCTGTTCAGGCTTCACGTGCAAGGCTGCTCTTCGTGCTGTTTTGTCCTTTGCTTTGTGTGTCCTCAGGGAATAACCCATTTCCCCTGGAGCGAAGCAGCCCTTTCCCTGG